CCTAAGGAAGCCTTCGAGTAACCCCTAACCTCAGCACACTAAAAAAGAGTGCTACGGATAGGTGAATTCTGTGGAAGCGGATCATCTGTGACTTGATCAAGACCCCTGTACGTGTGTTTAGGGTGGAAACTGGTTTTGTGCAGAAATTGCTGACGGTCAGTGTCTTTGAAATAGACTATTAGTTGCTAATTTTTTCGGGCCGTCAGAGCTGCAGAAGAAACCGTGTGTCCAAAAATTCCACTGACTGTGTCTGTAAGTTATGTTTGAGTTTTATTTTTAGGGTGGTGTTGTTGAGAGTGAAGAAATTGTCAAAATATTCATTTCAGATCACATCCCAGAGACCGAAGATGGATCCAGGTAACGGTAACTAAGAGGTTTGTTTTTTAATTAATTTCTGAAAGCTGTTTTTGTTTCCAGTCTGCTAAATAAATTCTGCATATGAAGGTAGATATTTCGGCATGGCACAACCGCACAACTGAGAGTATAGTGGTTTCTATTGTTAAAAGAAGTGTATTCAAAAATATTGGGTGAGTGTATAAATTGCGGAATAACCATCGTGCAAATATATTTTCGTTATTTTTCTAATGGTGTGATGGGTCTGGTGTGTATCTTAATCTGAGGTATGGTTAATTAGAGAGAGACAATGCATCCCAGAGATGTTTTCTATTGATAATCTGAATCCACCTGTGCAAAAGTCAAGGAATTAGAATAGAGACAGACATATACGCTACATGAGTGAGAAACAATACTAATTGTATGAATAGAGAGTGTCAGTGTAAGAAAATACATAAAGATGGGAAAGAAAGACATAAAATAGTAATTAGCAAAAAACGCAAGAGTAGAGACTTAGAATGAGCTAGATTGAAGCCTAGATGATGTCCAATTTGTGAGATGACATCAAAAGAAAGATAACGCAGTCCCTATCATACTGTGATTTAGGCAATAACGCTCAGTCCTATGGATTGCATTGCAGTGCTAATAATTGAGTCATAATTTTACCTCAAGTACCACTCACTTCTACTCCTCAGTCTTATATTCTCTCAATTAGCATACGAAAGGATAATGAGGAGAAATCATCATGTTACATTACACAGGCCAGAAAATGTTCTTCCTGTGACTGGGTATCCTGAAAGTTTTATATTAGAGATAACAAATGCCATAATGTTGGTCCCTGAATATAACCTAGGGTTGAGTTTGCGAGAGTGGTTGATAAACATGTCTATGTGGGACATCTGTAAGAGATGTAAAACTGTCAATGATTGATCTGATGTCGCGAAAGTCAATTCCTGATCTATACTAGGAGCGCCGGGCTACGGAACCATCAAGAATAGGAGGACTCCCCAATCCTACGATACCCCTCTGAGTATGCTCTAGGTGGAATCTTTGACGGGTTAGGACTCAATAGTAAGAAAGAAGCATGGATACAAACACCAGGCCTGGGCCCAATACTCAGGACGTCTCTTGGCTCTTATTTTCTTATATGTGTTGCAATTCGCTTGAAATTATAGTCTATTATGTCGCGAGTTAATGTGTTCCAGGTATGAAAGCTCTTATAGTCAGTATTGTGTGCTCTTTAATGTTCCTATATATATAGTTTTTGGATTATTTACGTTGCAACATGTAAGGAGGAGTGTTGAGATGGGTATTAGAACATACCGTAGACAAGGTACAAGTAGTTACCAAGAGTATCTCTACTTTTCACAACATAGATTTATTGTCAGATGTCTCGATTAATTACTCTCTAACAAACTGTAATTGTGTCTTACTCCTCTCACTGTTGTATTGACTGACCTATTTGGCCTCCACTTAATGCTCTGATCCGTTTATCAATAAACTTATTGTCAGAATCGTGTATGACTCTTTCACACCATGGTAGTGTTTGTATAATTAATGTGTTGAGTCATTCCGCTGTAGATGTTTATATCAAAGATGGCGGATAGTCGTCTGTTGGACACGGGGGGCGCCATTCCTAATGTAGCCGTGCACATGTGTCATAAGCTGGTATGTTAGAAAGGTCTAATGATATTGTCTAATCTAACTAAAATTAACTGGTGTAATAATATTTGATTCTGGTGTGTGGTCCCAATGGGACGGTCTTGTTAACAGGAGCACAGGCTCCGCCCCTGGTGCTCCCATAAAACGTGATCCATTAATTTAAGCCTCCTATTGAAGACGTGAGACCCCTCTTGAGCTCACCGCCGCAGGTTGGACGGTTTTGGGTGTGGGAATGAAGGTGAGTCCTTTCCAGTATCTCCAGCTGTGCGGCTGTTAAACTGAGTGTATCAAGAAAGATTGGTGATATTTGAGTGGAAGGGGTATTGGAACAATGACCCCCCGTTTACAGTTTAGCTGTTGTATTTGAAGATGAGTTGTGCTTGTGCTTGGGTGTCCAGCATGCGACGAGTCTCTGGGGACAGATCGAAGGAGAATTTGGGGTTAATTTCGGGGACGGACAAGTGCATTTAGTTGCTATCAGGTGATTCAGTTTGGTGAGTAGATCCTTTTTTCTAGTGTCAACCTGTTGGAGAAACTTCTATTGACTGGGGATGTCAATTGTACGTTAAGGAGATGAAGTGACTGATTTAGTTAATTGCTGCAACCTGCTCTCCAGGTGTGGTAGACTCCTGTTCCTGGAGCAGTTTGTTAAGTCCCACAGAAAGGACAACCTGTTGTGTGTTATTTAGGGTGTGGTTTTTTAAGAATGACGACTCGTGATGAAATGTTCTCCGGGTAACTGTAATCTGTATGTGTGATTTGTGAATTGTGGGATGCTTTGAGCGAGGTATTGAATCACCTGATGATGAGGGTCTTCTTCTGCACCTTTCCAACGACCACTCCTGTAATTTTCCTAAATTTCAGTTAGTATTTATACTGTAGTATTGTACTGTAGTATTGTACTGTAGTACTGTAGTATTTATACTGTAGTATTTGTACTGTAGTATTGTACTGTAGTATTTGTACTGTAGTATTGTACTGTAGTATTTGTACTGTAGTATTGTACTGTAGTATTGTACTGTAGTATCTGCAGTAACTGTAAACCAGAATATCGTGGAGTTTTCCACCAACGTACAAAAAAACTACTTTATGGCTGATTTTGGTGAATCCGGATTTTATAGTACATACTATAGAATATACTCAGCTAACCGCTGCTGGGTTGGTGGACTGGGTTGGTGGGGGGCCCCCACTAGATCCGCCCCTGATTATTCCTAACTATCATTAATGTGCTTTTATTGTGAAACCCGACGACAGCATATTCCCGGTAACTTGCCGTGTCTCCAGCAGTCTGTGGACTCTGCTGCTGGTCGTGTGTGATCCGGATCATGGAGCTGCTGTCTGTGCTCTAACAGTCCGGCTCCCCCCGCGGAGCTTCAATATGCTGCTGATGGGAAACGAGTCCTCTGGCTGGGCTGCGCTCCCAGGGTTCAACCGCTCCGAGGCGGAGGACGGGTCTGGAGCCGGGCCAGAGTCGGTGGTCGTGCCGGTGGTGTTCGGGCTGATCTTCGTGGTGGGGGTGGTGGGGAACTCTCTAGTGATGGTGGTGATCGGGAGGGTGAGGTACAGCGGGGCAGGGGGCGGCGGTGGGAGAGGAGGAAGGACGCGCTCCAGCAGCCCGACCAACATCTTCATCCTGAACCTGAGCGTGGCGGACCTCCTCTTCCTCCTCTTCTGCGTCCCGTTCCACGCCACCATCTACTCTCTGCCGGAGTGGGTGTTCGGAGGCTTCCTATGTAAGTTCGGACACTTCTTCTCCAGCGCCAGCATGCTGGTCAGCATCTTCACGCTGGTCGCCATGTCCGCAGACCGCTACATTGCCGTGGTGCGCTCCGGGAAGTCTCCGTGCGTCCGGAGCCGCCGGAATGCGCTGGCCGGGGTGTGCGTCATCTGGATGCTGTCTCTGCTGTGCTCGGTGCCGGTGGCCCAGCACCAGGTTCTCACCAGCCACCCCAGCGCCCCCAACAGCACCTTCTGCTGGGAGCAGTGGTCCGGAGCGTCCAGAAGGTCGTACAGGGTGACAGTCCTGCTGATCGGGTTCCTGCTGCCGCTGCTGCTCATCAGCTGCTGTTACACCAGGGTCAGTTCAAAAAACAGCTCATTTAATGTTTGACTGGCTGTAAAACGCTCATTAATAACACAGCGCAGGGGCCAAAGGGCGCGCACAAAGTCCTGATGGTTGTAAAGACCGTGCGTAAAAACCTTCGCAGCGCACGCGGACAGCAGCCCAGACAACACCGGGGTGGACTTTCAAAATAAAAGAGAGTTTTTGTTTAACAATTTTCTTTTTCACTTTTAAAACATCTGATGAAGACAAACAGTCCATTTATTTTTTAGCTGTTTCTCTCCTATGGAGGACCAAAGTTGGCTCTTTATTAATAAATTAGTGCTCAGTAATTACAGGTGCCTTTCTAGTTTCCCAGAGCTGGTCTACAGTGCATCATTTAACATTTAAAGAGGAACAAAGATCCATAAAAACTCTTTTTTATTTCATTACTGTTGTTGAGCGTGATGATAAAAAGTGTGGACACCAGGGTTACCTGGGAATGTCTTTATTAGAACATCTGCCACATGAAATGAGACTGATGCTTCATTTTCCTTCCCATGTTGATTTTTACTGTGGTTGTCATGGAAACTACATTACAGCAGAATTAATAGGCCATATGTTTGTGATATGAAGCCTAATAGTCGGTACTGGTAATGAACTTTAGTAACTTAGTAAATGTGTCTGTATCTTTCTCTTCCTCTCACCTTCTGACAGAAATGTTGAGGTAAGCTCGAATGTTGGCACTAAGGAAGGCTTTCAGTGTGTCGCTGCTAGCTCCGAGGTTCTGGTGATGAGGAGCTTGTTTTGCTAACCTCAGCACAAGTTGCTAACGGCGTCCGGGCCAAACTAGCACTTTGGTTCTACATTACGTGCTTCAGTCTAAATAGAGTTCAGTCTGTGTGACCTCTGTGACCCCTGTGACCCTTATGACCCCTGTGACCCATGTGACCTCTGTGACCCCTGTGACGCTTTTTGTCACAAACACACAACCGCCACAGTCCGACTGTTACTGTTCGTATTCACACTGTTTGTTTTTCCTTCCAGGTTTTATTTCATCTTCATAAAAAAATGAAGAACATGTCCAAGAAGTCTGAGCGCTCCAAAAGAAAGGTACAGTCCTCCTCTTCCTCCTCTTTATCCTCTTCCTCCTCGTCATCCCTGTTTGAAGTGAAACAGCTTCCTGAACACGACAGTTTTCTCCATAAAATATGATAAAAAATTATTAAAATGAATATTTTCTGGTTTGCAACTCTCTTTCTCCTATTAGGTGACTCTGGTCAGCTCAGAGCACCGGGACAGTGTCAGTCTTTAGCATCCACATATCAATATTTTACTAATCAGAAAAATAAAAATTCAAAAAGATCAGTTTGTGTCTGACCACATAACCTGTGGGACCATTGTAGAGACAGTTAGAGTGTTACAGTGTCCTAAAGTTCAGATGTTAGATAAATAGTAAGAATCACAGATCTGTATCAGTTCGGATGTCTGAGGGGTTTCAGAGTAGAAGCAGCAAATGTAGATCTGTAGATTAAAGAAATAATAAAGTCTGTCACAATAATCACAATATGATGTTTTTACCATATCTTTGTTATATATTAAACATACATACATTATAAACGTATAAACATTTACCCTTGAGATAAACTTTATACAGAATGAGGGCTGTACATTTCTCCTCCACTAAAAACATGTTCTGAAGCAGATGATGATACTGATGATGAAGGTGTAGACCGGCAGTGGGCTTTATTATCCTGCTGATTAATCAGAATGATAGAGTTATTGATAAAACAGCTGCAGCTGACAGGAAACATCCCCGCCCTTCACAGCCATCCAGCTGGCAGCTGTCAGCACTGACGATGAAGAACATCAATCATGATGATGATGATAATGATGATGATTAAAACTTTTATTGCTGTTTTGAATCAGTTTCCTGAGAGAGTGACAGTAAGTCTGTTTCCTGTATCATCTTCTTCTGTTGTTGAAATGTCGCAGCTCCATCTTCTGTGCTCTGAAACGTAATTTGGTGCCAAATTAAATAATAATCATTATTATTATTTATTTAATAAATATTTGTTTGTTGTGGAACATATCTGTTGATTTATTTAGTTTATTGTATTGTATTTTTTTAACCTTTTTAAAAATGCAGATAGATAGAAATACACATAGTAATTCAATTAAATTCA